ATTTAAAAAAAAAAGCCGGCCGGCCGGGTCTATTTTTAAATTTGATGTTATGAAAACCAAGTAATTAAATTTGTATGACCTAATTCTCACGTAAAATTTTTGATTATTGCAGTTATTATTTTTATTTTTTTTGCTATATTTTATTGAAATACCAAGAGATTTATTATAATAGATTAATTTAATCAGTTTTCAATTTCGCTTTAGTCACGTAATCACCTGTGAGGATTTCTATTTATTGGCTGATATATTAAAAAAAAATTTCAGATTCCCACCCTACTGCCCCGGCCGGGATATGAAAACCGATTATATAAATTTGTATGGCCTTAGTTTTCGCAAGAATTATTGAAGCTGAAATTATTAGCAAAATTCATTCCGGTTTATGAATTTTCTCCTTTGCACTATACTGTCACCTTTAAATACAGATTTATCTTTGCTTTCAATCGTTATCAATTTCTATTGCAACTAGCTTTCATAATTACTATTCATAAGTTCAAGAATAAAATTTGTGCAATTATAGCGGTTTTTAATATTTAGATTTTTATATACTGTATCTAATATATAGATTATTTTTTTTTAATTTAAAAATTTGGTCAAAACGCCCATGGGCATTATTTGAAGTAATGGCCCTAATTAAGCTTAATTTGGCCAAAATTTGAAATTCAACCCCTGTGCGTTATTTCGCGACAATAAACTATCTTTTCAATCCGTTGACTTTTCCACACATTTGAAATTCAACCCCTGCGCGTTATTTCGCGACAATAAACTATCTTTTCAATCTGTTGACTTTTCCACACAACTCGTAGACTTTTGAAAATTTACAAAAAAACTTTACCTTCTTCCGTTAACAATGGGGCATCCCAAACGAGATTTTGGAGAAAATTTTTAACAATTTCCGACATATTTTTAAGTGCCTACTTTTCTGCGCCCTCATAAGCAGAGCGAACCAGCCACCATTTAACTTTTAAGAATACTCTTTTTCACGCTGAATATCGAGGTGCGCTTCCTTTAAACATCACCCTCTCATGCCCAAATTCTTATTATTCAAATATACAAAATCCGTTAGCTATCTATATGGAGTTAGCTATTGATACTTATTAGAGTAATCATGAGGGATACGAGACTGAGCCTGGTAATACTGCTAAATATTTTTTTAATTACCAAGAACTAGCAATCTTAAACACTAAGTATTAACGATGATATAATATCGTTAATACAATAGCAAATATTTTAAATACAACTTCGTTAATTTCTTTGAATATTTGCGGAGACAAATTAGAAATTTTAACTAACGCTCTTCGTACGAACGTCCAATATTTGAAACTTGAATATAATCAATTGTGGGACAAGCAAACGCTCTTCGTACGAACATCTCACTAAAATATTTAAACTTGAATATAATCAATTTGGATCAGAAGTGGGACAAGCATTAGCCAATACACTTCGCATGAACACTACGTTGACCTCTGAATCTTTATTAATTATAATGATCTTGGATTAAAGGAAGGAAAACAATAGCTAATGTATTTCGCATGAACACTACGCTGACCTTTTTAAATCTTAGTAAGGCTATTTGAAATTGTAATTTCGTTTAAAGTTCCTTTTTGAAGCTTAAGCGAGTGGGGAGGGGTATCGATTTAAACAACCATTATGTTATATCGCAAAAATAATCACATTATTATTGCTTATAAGCACGTGACTTATTGGAATTTTAAGGGGGGCTCTTGGAGGTGGAGGGAGGGAGAACTTAAACGAAATTTTAATTTCAAACAGCCTAAGAACAATCTTGGGACAAAAATAGATGATGCGTTAGCCGATGCACTTATCAAGAATACACATTGATTTCTCTTAATCTTGGTGAGAATGAGAATAATCTTGGATTCGAAGGAGTAAAAGAAATAGCCGCTGTTCTTTTGAACAACACTACGTTGATCTCTCTAAATATTAATAGTAATAACCTTGAATTAGATGGAAATTGCCGAATCACTGTACATGAACACTACGTTGACCTCTCTGTTCCTTGGTAATAATAAACCTACAGTAAATCAAGAGGAAGAATAGCAATAGCTAAAGCGCTTCACTCTCTGAATCTTAATGGGAATAATCTTGGATCTAGTGGAGGAGAAACATAGCCGGCGCATTTCTCAAAAACAAAAAACATTGCATTGACTTCCCTGGATCTTAAAATAAAAATAGACAACCAATATATAGAAGAAATTATGCAATAATATATATTTCAATAAATGTTTTTATATAATGTTGTATGGCCTCTATTAAAATCAAAATATGGACAAGTTTATTATAAAATTCACTATAATTTAAATTTTTAAACATGTATATAATTAGCATTTATCAAATTGCCATTTCTAAATTCTAACGCTAAAGATAACTTGCTTTATAAAATATAAAATGGCTTATCTTGCATAAGTTTACTATAATTAAAGAAATAAGCAAATCAACCCTTTAAAATAAGATTCGTTAAACCCGTATGTATTTATAGATTATCGGATTTGTAACACTTACGATAGTGGCTATTATAAGAAAACATGCATGAGTCATAATTATATAAAAGGCTGTATTTTTTTTTTTGAAAAAAAAAAAATTGTAAAAAATATCACTACCACTACAATCATGAGTACATTCGGCACTATTTTTCGCGTAACAACATACGGAGAATCGCATGGTAAGTCTGTAGGATGCATAGTGGATGGTTGTCCTCCTGGTTTACCTCTTGCGGAGACCGATATACAAACTCAATTGAGTAGGAGACGACCGGGACAAAGCAACTTAACTACTCCAGTACGTATAATAACATTTTTTATCCTTATAAGCTAATTCTATTTAATTAAAATTTTGATTTTATTGCTGTATTTAGCGTGATGAAAAAGATTTGGTGGCTATACAATCCGGAACAGAGTTCGGAATCACGCTTGGGACACCAATTGGATTGATGGTTCGTAATTTAGATCAGAGACCTCATGATTATTCAGAAACAGACTTGTACCCAAGACCTAGTCACGCAGATTGGACTTATCTCCAAAAATACGGAGTTAAGGCTAGTAGTGGTGGTGGTAGATCATCTGCCAGAGAAACAATAGGTAAGTTTTCTTTATTAAATTAATTTACGAATCAAAAGAATTCTACAATTTCTTGATTTGCTCAAAAATAGGTCGAGTGGCTGCTGGTGCTATTGCGGAAAAATATCTTAAACTCGCACACGGAATTGAATTTGTAGCTTTTGTATCATCTATTTTTGTCCCAAGATTGTTCTTAGGCTGTTTGAAATTAAAATTTCGTTTAAAGTTCCTTTTTGAAGCTTAAGCGAGTGGGGAGGGGTATCGATTTAAACAACCATTATGTTATATC